ATAAACCGTTTTATTTTCTTTAGTTCCAACTTGACGTGGTTTAAGGTTCTTCCTTTACCCTTCCGGCCCCTATCACGTACATGTTGGGGTGTTTTGTGTTTTGTCCCTGCGCCATCTGAGAACAATAAACAACATTTAATGAAATACTCAGCAAACTGAGTACAATAGGCATCATCGCACTATTCAGCCAAAGTTTTTTCTCAGCCTTTTATGGCTTACGCTCTCTTTAATTTCTCTATGATCAGAGAAAATATTGAAAACTGGATACTCTGAAGTATAGAGTTGTTCTTGATTGTTCTTTGACAGGTTTGAGCTTTTTATTTGACGAGTGAAATCAAGGAAACTTCTACATCTAGGCTTTTTTCCCTTCATTTGAGTAATGGAGAGGGCTTCAGCAAGATGCTGGCTTAATTGTTGTCTAGAGGTTATAAACAGTTTATAATCTCTTGTTGTTGTCTAATCGTCAGATGAGGCCTATTAGTTCGTTACAAACTTTGACTCTCCAAGGAAAGCGAAAGAAAGGTTTATGAGATGGTTTTTCTATTCTTCGGTGTGCAGAGATCTTTTGCTAAGGCACAATCCAGGAAACCAAGATCCCTCACTTTCAAGCTATGATCTTCAAACTGGCCCGAATTTTGTGATCTATCTAATAGATGCAAAATATTGTAGGTAATTTTCTTAATTCTCTGCACCTTCCTGAATGACGGTAAATGAAAACAGTAACGAGAATATACAAAGTGATCAATACTGCATGACACCCAAAGTTCAAAGCCTTACGTTTCTTTCCTACTTACTACGGAACAAGCAAAATTATGAGAATACTGCTTCATGATAATTAGATCTGACGACTATTTGACATTTTGAATCTCATAAACGCAACGCAAAACGTATAGTTGGCTAGAGGGCTTGCACTTGTGTAAACAAAATGTCTGTGAGAAAAAAGCAATCTCTTATCGAATACGCACTTTTTAGTACCGGGGCATCACAAATGGCACTAATGACCACGAAACAATTCCTTAGAGAAAGACAACAACTTCAATAAGGGTTTAATGGATTCTTTGAAATTACTCTCAGTTGTTTTGAAGGCTTTCTGTTCTGACGGCTTTATTGTATTCGGAATATTCAATAGTGACTGGTTTAGCGTCATCGAGAAAACAATAAAGAGGATGTCAAGAACAAAACGCTCTCGACCAACCGTATCACTACCCCCTGACACTAGCCAAGCAAACAAAGCATAAGTAATTTATTTAGTGTTAAATGATTACCAGGAAAATACGCCATAGGTTAAATTGACTAATTGCTTGAGCTTGGTAAGTCAAATGAACATAATAAGGGAGTTTTACTGATAAACAAACCAGTTCTAATAAATTTTGAGGTAAGACGGACGCAGAGCTAGAATTATCGTTGACCTACCGAAAGGATGATTCTCGACAAGTCACAAACTGAAAGTACCGGCAGCAGGTAAATAGCCATCAAAAGCAATGAAGGATGACATTACCGTATAAGAAAAGTCATCAAGTATCTATTGTGTAGATGGTCGAACCTACATCAAATACTCGAATATATCTGGTTCAATAGGTGAATCAACATTTGAACTCACTTCAGCGATTCTTCCTGCTTATTTCTGATGGGCATAAAGTGAAGACTGATGATGATGCAAAAATATAGAGTTAAGTGGAGGTTACTTACCGAGTAGACAACCTTTAATTTCATCATACAAGATTGTTTCTTTCGTACTTTGAAATGCTTTGTGGACTTTGCATAACTACTCCAATCTGAGTCAGGTTTCGCTCAACCAAGTGTTCGCGAACTCACAGACGGATTGAAGGATTTCTCTGACGTTGAGTCTCTGGCAGTTAGAAATACTAAGAATCGAGTGTTACCCTAATCTCCATCGTTGTATATGGAAATTGGTAGTTTCTTTATTATTCGGATCAGCCATATAATTACAGACTAAAAGCGTTATACCCTCTAATCATATTGATTGAGAGTGAAGGCGACCGTAGCGTGTGTGAACGCGTCAAGAACTAAATTTGTGTGCGTCTGTAAAATACTGAGGACATCAAATGGAAGAGGCATCGTGGCAATATTATGCACGAGGCATGATGATACCTCTGTCACCTGTAGCAAAGAAATCTCGAGAAAGCAACTCGATCCTAGATGGAGGACCTGAGGAAAGCAAGGAAATCAACGCCGGCAAACCAGGGACATTTGCATTTACCAGTGAACACGACGACAATAACAAAATGGACTTTGGAGATGATATTGGACCTGATGCCAATTTTCTTGGCGAAAATAACTTGCAAAGACAGAGTGATAGAAATGCGATGCTAAAACGTTTGGCAAACTGTTTCAACCACCGACAGAAGCGTGCAAACCTGGTAGCCAGAAGAAATAGAGTTATGGGCTTTTTTCCAAAGCTGTGCACCATACATGAAAATGCATCTGAACTTGTTCATGATTTAGAGGAAAACTACCAACTAGCAGAAGAACAAAACGAGTTCGATAGAGACTCGCTAGAACACGACTCGATCAAAACAAACGACCAAAAAATTGCAGCTTTACATCAAGACATCAAGGAACTTTGGAAGCGTCTTGAAAACGTAGAGAAAGAGTTTGCGTGGGCGAGAGGAACCCTGAAGTTAGCGCAACATACAAAGTTAAAATAGATGTTTAACTCTAGAAAATAAGCTAAATATCCTAAAGCCTGAACCAAGAGAAAACGAGTCTCCCGATGAAACATTGGAGCAAGAGAATATTTGACCTATGCCCCAATGAAAGTTCTTTCTCCAAGAGAATCACGGCAAAGGAAAGTTTGTTAAAATAAGAGGCAGATTAAGCTTACCTGTTAAAAGCTTCGAAGTAACAGAAAAGTCACTAGCTTAAGTTGAACAATCGAAAATAAATGCGGGTCCTGTTACTGGAGAAAAACACAAGTATTGAGCCTTTGTAAAGTTTCCTCAGCAGTTACCTTCTTAGTTTCTACGCCCTTTTATCGAATTACAAACTTTCCTACTAACGAGAATCATTGTCTCACTAACAATTTCTCTTGCCTGAATCTATAACTAAGCTGGGAAAACGGCAGGACATTGTAATGTCAGCTGGAAATTAAAATCAAAAGGTAAAGAAACAGTGTGATATTCATGGGCACTTTTGGAATTAACAACAAAACCAACACATCATACAGACAAAAACAAAAATCAACAATTTGGCCAAGCCCCCCCCTCTCCAATAGCTAAATTTAGTCTCTACAGCTCATAACGAATGTGTCACGGGCATCACGGGGGTGCGTTACAAATCCGGCACTGACTGTACTCTCATCAACGATCTTTATGCCGCTCAGGGTGACCAGATTGATTTCAACTCAAGTCAATTTTACTCTTAGAAATCTCTCTTTATTGCTGGTTAAGAGAAATTCACAGCGCTTCATGATCAACCCAAAACCCTTTGCTAGATAGATCAGCTAAGTATAGCTTCTCTTACTTTGGGAGAGTTTTGACACTGAGGTATTTCAGGACCCCGTTGGCTCAACAGATACATTTAGCGTCTGAGTCTTCAAACGGGCGAACTCTTAAAACTGTCCAACAAAATAATGAACTCATTTGTTTTTGTTCCACCGTATGGAAGGTAGAACCACGCGAGGTTGGTTTTGCTGCCGAATGATCTCAATCGACAGAGCATCAATGTCTGGAAAAATAGTTGACGATCGAATTGCAAGAGACGATTTGTATTGCAACCAAAACTCTTCGAAACCTTTTGGCATCATTTGTCGTACAGGAGTGATCTCTGACGATGATTCATAATGGATTTTCCTGTTTTCCCGCTTAAGATTGTTAGCTGGAGAATGAGTAGGTGATCTGACGCGCTGACGTCTTTTGTTTCGAGCGTGAATGGCTGGCAGTCTGATTCTTTCTAATTTCTTCTTCGTATCATGAGAGCCATCAAAATGACGACGAAGCTGTTTTAAAGATAATCCCTTTTGGCTGCAATTTCCATCGTTTCTTGTTTGTCTTTCCACGTTGACTTTTGTACCTTTTATTAACTTTGAACGCGAGCTGTTAGGATCTTGTGCTTTTGCCATATTAATACAAAAGTACGAATAAACAGCAAGACAAGCTCGGAGTACTGATTACAATGTCTACCACAAACTCCACTTTGAAATGTCCTCGAATTTCATGTTGGCCGGGAGATGTATACACATAACTGCTCCTAGATCTCTTTGTTGATCAGAAATGATATGATCAGAGTCTCGATATTTGATTTTCACTCAAACGCTACATTCTCCGGTCTTCTCAGACGGTGCAGTACAAAACAAGTCTTCCAGTCAACGAGTCGCACTTAGCTTATGTTACCCCCGCTGACCTGCATGCTTTATAAATAGCTAACATGCCTTGTTCTTGCCGCGTACAACTTTAAACAAGTCTGACCTTTCTCTCACGAAGGAAGTGTCACAATAACGCCTTTGGATTGGATTCGGCGAGAATACCCTACAGAAAAGCCGCCATGTTCGTGTTGCAGGCAAACGCGAAGCGAGTGCCGAACGTCCTTTCACCTGCTACTGAAATGAAAGAAACATCCCAGCCGTTCGGTAGATTAGGGTAAAGACAGAATGGTTTGCTCTTTACAAATAGCGTAACCTTTCTAGAGAATTACTGATTAAAAAGAGGCAATAAAGCAAAAAGCTGGACCTTAGGTCTTCGATTTCCATGATTGAGTATTTAAAAATGGTGTAGCTCTTGCCCTCGTGTGCTTTTCATAAAAACTAAAAATTGACCTTGAGCAGAAAGGGTTTTCATCTCCGTTATCGTCTTTTTCTTTCCTTCTCAATTTTCGCTCGGCGTATTCAATTCTCCTTTGTGACTACAACGTGGTGTTGACAATGGCACATTGTACTCTCCAACAAAGCATTTTAATCCGGCTCCTGTCAAGCGTGACCTCTTCGGCAATGGTCAGTCATGTTAGATTGATCGTAAATAATCGCCTTAGGCCTAAGTAGTGCATTGTAATTAGTCGGTAACTTAGGAGAAGTATTCTTGCGGGTTAGTAAACAAGAAAAGCGAGGAAATAAGGAAAAGCGCGATGTGGTCATCTTTCACTCGAAGTATTCGCTAATTTAATCACCCTCCTGTGTAAGAGGGGCTGAAACAACGCTTTTAAAACGCGAGGCGATTTATCAAGTTAACCAATTCAATTATAATCTGAATAATGATGGCAAACAACCAAGTGGTAATATCAAAAGCGAGTTGACAACATGCCTCACAGGCAATGCTTTCAACGTTCAACACTTCCAAAGCTTGTCGATGATCATCTTTCCTCTGGAAAAGGCAAAGAATGGATGCCAACGTCGTCGCAAGTCAACGCAAGAGAAAAACTCCGCTTCCAAACGCACTCTGATAAAATTTCAGGCGGTATTCAATATTGGCACAAACACAAACTTAAGCCAAGCGAGACACGAACACGAGACACCATTAAGGAGACGAAGAAAGTAAATAACCTTTCACATCAGCCGAAATGCACTGCTTGTGGTGGTTTGCTCTCTCATCGAATGAGCCTGAAAAGTATACACTCGAAATTTACTGAACGTCATTCGAAGTGCGCATTCGGACGTGAATATTGTGATGTAATTGGTCCATGTGCGGAATGCTGTTTGACGGAGCAACGTAATGCTATTGTCAAGAAACAGTCTGTGGAGTTTCCGGGATTGGAGGTTACACCAAGAAGACTTGTGGCACCAAACCTGGTCCAAGTTATGATGCAGCACAGTCAGATTGAGCTCGGAGATAATGCATCTGAACTTTCTCAAAGTCACCAGGGTAGGAGCGTTCTCGAACTGCCACTCATTCCTGTCGACACGCTGAGGTATATGAGGAGGGAAGCTGGGAGTAGCAAGCATAAGCGAAATACTTTCATAACAGATCAGGAACCAACGTTTAAGAAGTACATAGAGATTCGCCTACCAAAAATCTGACACAATAAGTTTTACTCGGAATTAGCTTAGAGACACAGGAACCTGCAAGGGTGATACTGAAAAACAAAAGTTCGCCTAAAGTTAACTTGAACTCAAGTGCTAATCCTATTCATCGAGTTAAATATGCATAATACAGTGTCTCTCTTTTGGCTGATGGACTTATTTGAATGACTAACGTGTGTGAATAAATCATTCGCCGAAGCAATTTACTGTTGGGTTTTGCAGCTTCTGTATATAAACATAACGCTGATAAAATTTTGTTTTTTGCTTTTTCTTTCTTCCTTTCTTTATGGTGACGAGATGTTGTAGTTTTCCCTTAAGAACATGTCACGTTAATTGGAGAAAAGAACCGCCCTTGTCTTCAGTCAAAATGTCATAGATACCAGGAGGACCATTACGGTATCTCGACAGTTCTCAGATAAAAGCCGATACGGCCCTCCGTACACTAGTACAATCGTAAAGGGGGAGATAGAACTCTTGCTTCGACGCCAAGTTCTAATTGTGGAAAATTTGAGAATCTTATAAAACCGTATATTATCGCATAACATAGTAGTCTTTTGAAGTCACGTATTGGGACTCTTCACACCCTGACTCTATGAATTTCTGATGGACCGAATGATCTCCATCTCAAAATGGTTATTAAACTGAAATTGTATCAGTTTTGTTTATATTCCGGAGATTGAAGAATGTGGGCGTGGAAATCAAACGCTACTGTATCTTAATATGTAACAATATAAAGATATTGAGCAGTCAGAAATTATCTAAAAATTGATATTGAGTAACGTTAGTAAATTCGAAATTCACTTGCAAGTCATTGATAGACGTGGATATAGTGATTTAAATTTGTGATTATAAATAGCATCATTTTTTTTAGGTTGCGAGAGCTTAATCTTTCTCGAGCACAAGACGATCTAATAAGTCCAGTTTACCACAACGATTCCTTCCGCTGCGTTTAGCTATTGTAGCATTACTTAGTCCACTTAACTTGTTTCAATTATGGGCATTAACCTCATTCAAAATGATAGCCATTTGAAGATAAAGGCCTTGTACACACAAAGTAACTGTAAAGTTGTTTCGTGCGCTTGGCGGGTCCATTAAGCCTATGCTAATGAGAATTACAAGGCACGACATTTTAAAATGTGTCGTGACAGAAAAGACCGATTTAGATTGATATACTACAGCTCACGTGACTTTTGGAAATGTTTATTATGGTGGGCTTCAGTAGTAACAGTATCAGTTCGTCTCTCTTTTCACTGGAAACAGCTTGCACAATTCACACTTCAGTCTCCTATTTCGAGACAACCAAGTATGGTCGAACCTCCAAGAGTGGTGGGTCTTAATGTCGGTGGTCATATTTACACAACCACGCTTTACACTGTCACTCAGTATTCCGACTCAAAACTAGGAAAGCTTTTTAGTTTAGAGAGCCAGGTACCTAGGGATCAAAAGGGAAACTACTTCTTAGACAGAGACGGTGTGCTGTTTAAACACGTCCTCAACTTCTTGCGCACGAAAAAATTGATCCTTCCGGACGACTTTCAGGATTTTGAACAGTTTGAGATTGAAGCCGCGTTCTATGGGATTAAACCGCTTGAAGAAGAGGTTCAAAATGCCAAGAAAAACAGGAAGCTCATTAGCTCCGGCCCAGAGATTCTACGGCTTTTCTACAGCTCGAAGACGCAGCTGGTGTTGGCTGGTGGGTTGGCGGTTATTCAGAGGCTCGTGCCCAACGTACGAATGTTGGGTGGAAATGTCCTGAGCGGCTCTGCCTACAACTTCAAAACGAATGACAAGATCGTGGAGGGAGGACAAGCTAAAGTTCCGATTAAATTGGAACAGTTAGATGCTTTTCTACAACATGTTGTCGACGAGGGTTTTGAGGTCAAGATGTCAACTTTCTTTTTAGATGGTCACGCAAGTCAAGCCTGGGTATTCGTTCGTAAGTAATGCTGCAAAGAACGACTCATGCCATGAACCTGTTTTAACAAAAGAACTCATATTGAATGGTAGAATCATGAAATCTCTTAGCTTTTCTGAGGAAGACACATCTCGTCTTTTACTGCGTCTAACTATTAACATGAATATTGTCAAATCAATATACTGTGTAGCAATAGAAGTGCCATTAGCGCTATCTGGGAGCGGTTATTATTGTGCCTAAACAGATATTGCAGGTGAATGGGAAAGAAATGAAATACCTTATATTGAAATATAACACGTGGAATTGTAATTGTACTTTTACGTTAAAATGGCTCGAAAGTAAACATTGACAAATATGAAATTCAGGAATAAAATTGTCCATTGTCCGATAGCATAACGCGTTCTAATTTTCCTCTCGAATTGGTTTGCGTTCCCCTTGTTTAAAATATATTTGCTCAGGGAATTCATTTTAAAATTCGAAAGTTCGTGGTAGGTCTTACAACAGTGAGTGTTTTGACGGAGAACACAGTTTTCATCGTTACGCCCCTCTTACTTTTGTAGTTGTACAATATATTCCCAGTCGTCTCCGTCAATCTGTCAATTAACCCCCAATAATTGCCTAGGTACACGTAGGATTCTGCAGAAGTTGTGAGGTGATTGGTTTCCTTCTTCCCTTAACTTTTTTATTAAACATTTTGATAATAGCTCTTTTCCATGACAAAATGAGGGAGATCAGGCTAAGGTAGGAAATTATTTGCGCAATACACAATCCCTGGATTTTTTTCTGTCACTCATCTGTTTATTTTTTTATGTCAACGGACAATTGCCCTGCTTGCTTAGGCTCTTTAATTGGGGCGGTGTTCATTGGTCCAATCAATATCCCTCTTGATCTCAGAGTATAGAAAAGTGGTCTGAAAATCTGATTTGCTTTCGCCAAAAGGTCTGGATAGCAGCAGATATGTCGCGAAGTTAAGAGGATATAAAACATTTTTATGATTTGTTTTTCCTTCACACCTTTTCTGGACCAGCTCGAGTGACGAGTGGCTTTTATTTCACACCGGATACGAGGATGGGACTAGCTGAGAAACTGATGAAGTCCTTTCCAATTCTGAAAGTGCTATATTAGAGTAATTAATTTTTAACGGATTTTTTATTCTAAATGGAGAAAAAGTATATTTCTAAACCTAATTCTATGCTGATAAGGGCAGTCAAATATCTAATTTAAATCTTAATTTATTCTTTCTTTTTCTCCTTAATTTTCTCTCTTTTGTTTTTTTTCCCCGAAAATGTGAAATACGACTCCAGCAAAAGAAAACAAGAAGTGAAAACGGGGCACGTGCGTTAATAAAGCCTTGCATAGTAGCTGAATTGCTTAGAAAAGGGTACAATTTTTAATTCAGAAATCTTGCGTGACAAAACGCGAATGACACGCCACAATCGATGATCATTACATGACGTGTCTCGCAGTCGACATGCCGCCATATTATTAAGACGTGGCTACTTTTTCCGCTGGTCTTCGATACTGAGAATTTAAGGTATGTTCAAGATATTTTTTGATCGATTATGCAAGTTCTGTTTATTTTCCTGGCAAAAGGTAAACGAATGTCACGTTATTAACTCAGATTATTCAAATCTAACCACCACCACCGTCACCGAGGTTCTTGCGGGATGTAGATTCAGTAAAAATTTCAAGTTTTCACAAAGCCTCTACTCTAAAGATTGTCCAACGCTATGTTTGATTATGTTGTCACCGTTTTGCCAATGTGTGGAGTTCTCAGATATCTTTCGAACGACAATTTACCACTGTGTTTACCTCAAATGAAGTTAGTTGACGTGCGTAGGGGTTTCGGTTTTCCTTTAACAGCACACGTTTGATGAGAATGGACGAAGTTCAAGAATTTCCATCCATAATAGACGTAAACGTTGGAGGCAATGTTTACACCACATCACTAGCAAGCCTTACAAGATTTCCAGACTCCATGTTGGGGGTCATGTTTAGTGGACGGCGGCCGGTGGCGAAAGATTCTCGAGGAAATTTCTTCATCGATCGTGACGGGCCGATGTTTCGGTATGTGTTAAATTTCTTGCGCTCTTCCAAGTTGAACCTACCTGACAATTTTCAGGAATTTGATCAGCTCGCTGAGGAAGCCGATTTTTATCAAATTCCTCGTCTCATTGAAGCCTTGAAAAAAATCAAATTAAGTAGTACTGTGGGAAGAAATCAAGTGATTCGAATAACTCTGGACAGAGATAAGCACGGATTAGAGACGTTGCTGACGGTTTTCGCCGAGAAGCTCATCTTACAGGAGATATTTAGAGGCTACGACTGCATCTGTAGCCCTCTCGTATTTTCGTTCGATAAAGAACAGGCGGACTCATCTACTACAGCGATTCTACAAGAAATCACTAATTATGGTTTTGAGGTGATGACAAGCCTCTCGCATCCTGAAGACAAATCTATTAATGAGTGGTTTTTCCTTCGCAAGCGCAAGACAAATGTACCAAATTCTTAATTTTAGTACCGAGTGACTGTTCTTTTGCTCTCTTTTGTAACGATTTTTGCCATTGCCATGACTAGTAAATTGAAGACTAATTCCTCCATTTTAATATCCAACATCAATATAAATACTTTATTTTCTAACACATTTCGAGCTAAGTCAAGCTGCTGTGGAATTATTTAATTTTTGGTCGACCTGTCGCAAAACTAAATATCATCTGCTCACCTTTCCATCTTGCTAGACATTTTTGGAAACCTCTTTGTCACACATTGTAGTCTTTATTCGTCGGCAGAATAGGCGTTAGTCTTCATGCATATTGAGGCGAGGGGGTGGTGAGGTTTATGGTGCGAAGCTACCGAGAGGCGGGCGCGAGGTGGGCGCGAAGTGAGCGTGAGACGGGCGTGAGGCGAGGAGACACGCGCGTGACTCAATCCTCGCCCCCACCTCGTGCTTGCTTCCGCTCGGCATAAACGCACAAAAGTGACACCTGTTCTGCTGGCGAAGTCTGCTTATATATCATCCAAATCTTTCGCTGAGTTCCTTGGTGAAAAGAAGATTGCCTTATCTTTTTACGCACTTATTCTGTTATTGTTGCTGTTTATAGATATAAGGAAACAAAGTGGGTTTTGTTTTACGAATGATTGGGAATGATATGGAGGATTGCTCCCTCGTTTTCGTGAATTTATTCCGAAACTTACCGGAATTTGTCCACCATAACATCATTTACAGGTGTAGGGAATGCTTTTTATATTTTTACATTTTTTATATTTAGCTCCGTAGGGAGAAATATTTGACGTAAATGACTGTATTTTTTTTGCGGCCCTTTTCCGTCCTACAAGGTGCCGTTGGAGGCTCCATCATTTTATTGGCAGCTGCAGAAACAGAACTTATCCCTTGGCGCGCTGAGCGTCTTTTAAACTGCCGCCGAAAGTCCTGCTTAACAAATGCGTAAAGTAAAGGATTTGCTAAGGAAGAAAGTGCCACGGTATAAAGAGAAGCTTTTTGAAGAGCGTCAGGGGATAAGTTAAGCTTGTTCAAACTGGCAACTGTTGTCATATAAATGATCGGCAACCATGATAACACAAATATCATTACAATAGCGAGAAAAACTTTGGTGACTTTAGCCTCTGCTTTCATTCTTTTGCATTTATGAGAACCAGTGGCGTGAGAGTGTTTGCGAATTTTCTGTTGGTGTTTCCTCAAATTCTGACCAATTTTGTAGTAAGCAAGAAATATTGCTGCGTACGGGATGACAACAAAAAAGCCCATTAAGCAAAAGAGATACACTTTGTGAATGACGATATTGTAATCTGTCTTCCATGTCAGAGGTAAGAGAGCAACGAGTAAGGAAATTGCCCAAATCACGATAATCATCTTTGAGAAGTGTTTCTTCACTGTTTCCTTGTACTGGAACGGTTTGGTAACAGCAATATAGCGATCCCATGTGACCAAACAAATATTGCCAACACCAGCCAACAGAACGAAAGCAACCAAGTAACCTTCTGTGAAAGCTACAGGCGAATATGGCCCACTAAGGTGAACGGGAAAGAAGAGTCCGCCCGTTAAAATGTCTGAAACGGCCAAAGATACGAGAAATCCGTTTGTGTAAGTGCGAAGTTGAGCGTTTGTTACTACAGATACGCAAACGATGATATTGGCAGCCACAATGAGGATTGACATAGAGGCTAAAATGACGAAGTGCAAAGTCACATCTACCATTTTAGTATTTCAACAATGGTGAAGAAATGATTTCTTGTTATCGAACTGTTTAACTTCCCTGTAATGTGTATTCCCGCCTTTGTGGTATTGAATACTGGTTGCCTCATCGCAAGTAAAGCCTAATAACATCTATTGAAATATTAAACAAATGTTAATTCTGTTATTTGCATAGGCGAGGAAATGATAGGAATATCAACACACATGCACCAATTAAAATGCTTAGCTCAGTGCCAAAAGGCTTTTGCTTCGCATTTAATTTTCCGGAACACTTTATGTTCATTTCCTGCCTAAAGGCAAATGTCTGTCACATTCAGAATCAATATTCCATTCTGCTGTTCCGTGATATTTTTAGTGACAATTGCGAGTGCAAACGAACGAGAAGCTTCTTCGCTTTCGCAATACCTATCAGTATACCGCTATCCTTTGTTCAGAGGCACAATAACACATTTCTGCAAATACGATGAAAGGTTGTCAAGAGCGAACGGATGAATAATACGTGAATCAATTTTCATGACGTGATGAATTATTCAATTTGAATGGATTAAACGTTTTTCAATGTTTTATCAGAGGCCACTGATGGCTGCAATGAGTCGGTTGTAATCTTTAAAAAGTTTTGCTTCCTGATTAAAAAAAAATTTATTTTTTGGGGGGGAGGGGGGGTTATCGTTTGAATGATTTGCTAGTAAGAAGAAGAGATTAAAAAAAATTCACCGAACAATAAACACGAAAAAGGTAAAACTTAAAGGATTTGAATAATATAATTTTTTCTCGTTTTGTTTTGGTTAAGTGGCGAACTGAAAGTTACAAGTAAAATTATTTTCCTATAGGCAGCAAATTATCTGAAATTACCCAGTTTTATGCCACCGCCATTTTATCTTACTAGGGGTGGTTTAAATATTCTTACTTTCCTTAAAAAACTTATATCCTCGTCTAAACTGCAATCATTTATGTGGAGATGTCATGCTTAGATTTCCTCACGGTAGCCGGTAATTTGGTGAACTTTTTGTCGAAAGATATCTTAGTAAATTTGTAATAATGTGAAACTTTAAAAAATAAAAGATGAACTGTTGTAATTGAATTTTACCTCTGTGAATCTGTTGTCAGTAATTTAACCATGTGTCTTATGAGAAGCTTTTCTTGGTCGATTTAAAGCAAGTTTAAGTTCCTCATATCAAGGCCATTTTTATCTGCACCAAGGGCTACTTGAAAGATAGGGCCTTTACTGTCTCCAGATATGAATCAGTGGTAATGGCTTTCAGATAAGTGTAGTTCATTTTCTCAACGTGTAAATTTTGTCAAAATGTGGAGGTCATCCTAAATGGAACTTTGGGGTGATAAGATCAAAAGGTGCGAAACTTTCGCTCAATTTGAAAGGTCGTCCAAGTTAATTTCAAGGGGATATGCAGGCCACGCTGGAATAACCTTCAGCTGATTACTTTTTAATCAAAGATGCACCTGGCGTGTTGAAATATTTTGTAGATCGCCGAGCAGTGGGTAGTAAAAGAAATTCATCTTAAAACAGGATTTAATGACATTTTTGTGATAAAAAAGAAACCAAAGCACTCTAATTCACCTTACAGTAACTCTGGAATCTCTTCAACCTGAATCAAGTTGTTTTCATGAAGCAGAAAGAGATGGATACTACCGCCAGAGAAGAGAAGTTTTGTCACCCCCGAGGGGATATGTATGTTGAATGTGTTTGTTTGATAGGTGGGTTTTCCAGAGCCTTTTTTGCATTTAGATGAGGTGTAGCGATGAAAAATATTGCGCAAGACTAAACAAGACTAGTACGACGCCACCTTTGAGCGAATTATTTTCTAATTTTGGATGATTACTGTGCCAGAAATAATTTCCTTTCTTTGCGCAATCTTTAGAAACATATTACATATTGGTGCTTATCTATAATGCAGTGGAACGGAGAATCTTGTTTTCCATGTCTTCGTCTGCGTTATCAAAAAAGTATAGGAAAAAATATCAGATTCAGGTCGATATGACAACTAAACTAAAACGAAGTCTATGGCAAAAATTTTCACTTACGGGTGAGAGATAATTTTTACAATTCAGGTGAATCGTTCACACGCCGTGATAGTGCCAGCGGGGTGAAATGAAAACAAAACAAAACAAAAAAACAGACAGTCGAATGTGATCAGTTCCTGAAGTTTAAAATATGATAATATCTGTTCATGGATTTTTCTAGATTACAGCGGAGTTTACATGGGAAATAATTCGTTGAAAGATATAAGAATTAAGAGAAAATCATGAAACGTAAAATTAGTCATAACATTTTGGTATCATAAATTATTCAAAGACTAAAGTTTGAAATATGTAGCGCAAGTTTACTCTTACTCTTAGGGTTAGGGTTTACATTTACCTGATTGGAGGTATGCCGAATGGTTCAGGTGTTCTTAACTGGCTGATAAATTACTCTACCATCCAGCCATGGGTTAAATATGCCTCTCTATTACCTGATCGATTGACTGTAATCGTCCTTGAGAGCGAATTATTGATTCCTGTCAGGGTATGACAAAGTGATTCAATAGACTGTTCCAGGCTCTTTGTATGTCGAAGAAAAGCGAAGGGGCAGGCGAGCGATAAACGATGGAGTGGTCTTCAGGGAACCACGCCATTTTGCGCGCGCCCACTCTTTGGCTCATTTCAGCTAACCACAAGCCTAGCACAGACTAGCGGTCGAACGATCGATTGACTAAGGATAAGTTGTTTCAGTCTTTGTTTTATTGAATGATCGTATTGTTCATTAATTTAATAAATTACTGTTTTTATTCACTGGTTCATGGATTCATATGAGTTGATTATTATTTCCAATTTGATGATCAAACTCTTCGGCGGTTACTCCCTTTATATTTTGCAAGCGGGAGTCTTCAATTTTTTCAAATTTTGTTTGATGAACTAGCACGGCCTCAATGTGAAGGAAACCAGTTATTCCTGTTCGTGCTGTCTGCTGTGAAGTCGTTACAGGTGTGATTTTCCCTTTAGTATTGTTCAACCAATACGGTCCACTAAGTTGGATGCTTTAACCTCCAACCCCTGAGAGTGATTCGCATCTAATCTCTCTCTCTAAAATATCACCCCTGGGTCACACATTCAGGTCACGAGAAAAAGGAAATGATCGCCAACTAAAGAAGCTCTTGATCGTTAAACAAGTTCTCCTTGTGAGCAAGTTAAAAAAAGGTGTAGAGAACAGTATGGAGAATATGCTTACTGATGTTAGGATGTAAAGGGTCAAGGATATCAAAGACACTGAGAGCTTCACAAATCAACTTGCTGTCAATGCCCGATTGACCACTGCAGGCACATGCAGTCCACCAATTTAGATTTCCCTTGAAGATTGTTTTCGCCGCTTCCATTTAGTCTCTGTACTTTTAAAAAGCAAAATAACCATCTCTCAGTCAGGTATGAAAGGACTGATGCAATTTTGATCACAGTGCGGCAGTGCATGAACAGTAATGGTTGGGATCTACTTCATTAATTGCGATACTTAGACACCAGTGGTAGGGTTTCTCAGCTGCAGAGCCGTGTCATGCGTAGTATTCCCTTTTTGTGTGATCTCTATATGATTCTTTAGACTAATCGGATGAATCTGTGCATTCATATTTCGCCTGAAAATCTTTCTCACAGCAGTTCTGAAGTCCTCTTTCTTGAAAGTGTACAGTGCAGGGTTTATCAAGGACGACAGACCCAGTGTAAATATGGAAATATTGGGCAAAAGAACAGGCACGATGTCGGGTCTACCAAGCGCCGTTGCTGATGTCATGTAGATGATCGGCAGCCAACAGAGGACAAAAGTAGCGATCAGAATAAGGCAAACTTTGGCAACCTTTGCTTCTGATGAGAGCCTCTTCGCTTGTTCCCTCCTACTTGTCGATACCGTCATCTCCTGAACGATCTTGAAATGCTCGCGGAGCGTCGCAAAAATCAAGCAGTAAGCAACAAACATCAACATATAAGGAACAAAGATAAAAATCACGATTTCCACAAAGATGTAAACTTTGTGAATCAAAAGACGGGAATCAGCTTTCCAGCAGAGTGGTATTAGCGAAAATACAACTGCCACGACCCAGGCAGTCAGTAGCACTTTCGTAAAGTATTTCTGTATTAGATAAGAATACGAGAACGGATGGCGGATAGCAATGAGTCGGTCAAAGGTGATGCAGCAATGGCTGGTAACTCCTGACAACAGAATCACAGAGACAATATATCCGCTGGTGGCCGATTCCGGAATCGTTAGAAACACAGGAAACAGTACAGCACCGAGTAAAATATCGGATACTGCCAGAGAAACGAGGAATCCATTCGTGTAAGTTTGCAGAGATTTGTTGGCGACGACCAAGAGGCATATTGTTACGTTAGCAGCCACTACTATTACGGACAAAATAGTTATCATAACGTTTACGATGGAATTTTCAGCCATCTGTCATATCCCAAGATATGAAACTCTTGCTCTTCGTTATTCTCTGATCTTTCTGAAGTATTAACTTAGCGTCCGGCAGACCAGCATCCTGAAGGACACAGCTTTATATTGATGTAAGCAAAATTAATCTATCAAAGCCGATATTTCTTAAAGTGACAAAACTGAAAATATGTTTCTCAATCGAAGAGTCTCGACCCTTAAAATTGGTGTGTATATCGCTTTCAGTCACTGGGTAGTTAGTCTTACATCCTAACATCATCTTATAAACATATATCTTATGGTGAGTTCTTATCCAGAAGACTTCACGCAGATTTAATGAAAGAGCAAGTTGAGCTCTCAGTAAGTTATCATTCAAATTCAAATTTAAATTGACATGTGAAATTATCTTTGTACCAATAAGGACGATGAACGGACACTTTTTGTTTGGTATGCACGCTTGCCCTGTCTATCTCGGCAATCTGTTATTACCCTTCGGCACTTAGCACTAACGTTTAGCACTTGGAGACAGCTCGTAACCATATGCTATTTTTTGTCTTTTTTCTCAGGAGAGGAATTTAAAAACGATTCTTTTTACAACAAAATTAACAGAGGAAGACAGTTTCCAATTTTCATCGCGTTGCCAGTTAACTTATCTATGATTTTCCTGATTCAATTTCGAAGGAATGGATTTTCTACGGCGTTTTTTATCGAGAACGTTTTACGAGGGTAAACAAAGAAAAAAATCATCAGGAAATCTTGACTGCAAAGACTGCGACTTTCTCAAAATGCATTGATGCGCAGCCTTTTCGCTTTAATTTGCTACAAGAAGCACTGATCAGAATTTCGGAACATTTCATTAATACGATCTTGGGCTGCAACAATCAGAGAGATTTCAACAGCTTGTCGAACTGAAAATGTAATTTTGGTATTATTCCTTTCACACGGTCCAATGTGGGACAACCGGTAACTATCATGAATTTTTCATTTCATTTTTGTTAGCGATATCGTGTTGCGGTGTATAAATTCAAACTAATTGACGAATCACGTTATGACGCACATCTAATACAACGCCAGAATCGAGGATTACGAATTTTTCCGAAATATCTTTACAAACAAACTCTTTTCTATTAAGACTTTTGCCACACGTTCAAATTAATAATGCTTCAACGCAAATGGCAGATCAGAATTTTCCGGAATTATTATTGGAATACAAATATGGGTTTCACCAGGGTAATTATTTTCATTCGCCGAAAATCTTGCCATGACCACAGAATTATTAGGATTTAAGCATTTCTAGGAATCAGCACTTAACTAATATCGGCCAAAGGGTCCGAAAAGTATTACTTTTCAGCCTACGGATAAACATAAGGTCTTCGAGAGTTGTTCACTCAGCATCGCGGCAAGCCTTGCAGAGAACAACTAAGCTTTCATAGGTATTAACGCCGTTTTAATTTAGGCTAGAGGCTTTGCAGATTATTATCTTTTTGCACACGGATAAAAACAGACTCCACGCGAGTAATTCATCGCGGCACATTTTGCAGAGCTCAAAGCAGTATTATGAGCTCAGCTTTCATGGTTATTAATGCCTTGGTCCGGCGAGAGACTCGTGACGAACATAAGTAGAGATCAGGGTTCATCTGTTCTCTTTCAATCGAAAAAATTTTCCAAAAAAAATTAAATACGGGAATCGAAACCTGGTACTGCTTTTGGTGACATGAAAGGTGTTGGGGAACGAATGTAGCCCTGTTCATGTGAAGACCTAAACTAGTTTCGTTTCCTAGAGGCCTTCAAAAATTAAATTGTCAATGGAGATTTACATTTACAACACACCTTGAGTTTCATTATTCAAAATGACCACATATTTGATCAAGTGATCTTCTTATTTGATAGGGTTACTCACCCCAGCTTTTATTATTGAAAAATGATGAACTTATCGAAATAATTTTCAGAAAAAAAATTATTGTTAATTGAGAGTTTCTTTTATTAATCACATTGATGTGCCCGCTTTCGATAGCACAGCAGGTAGAAGAAAGTTCGCAAGATTCGAATAGACCACTATGAGTAATATTATCGTTAGGTTTATACTCGTTCGTTCACTGAGAACCAAATCCCTTTTTTCAGTCAGTAGTAATCAGTATTGGGGGAGAACCCCGATAAATTCTGAAAATAATTTAGAGAAGGCGCATTGCTTTAAGGGCAAAATGAACTTTTTTGTCCTTCCTGTTATTTTCTAAAATCCTAACCATTATATAACTCAAGCCCAGTCATCCTGATACGTTAGTCATGTGATCTTGGAGCTGCTGGAGTCAAATGCACCGGACCTGGGGGGAGGGAAAGGGGGTTGTAGCCCCCCAGGCTTTGTTGGGGAAACTTTTCTAAGTGCACCACTCAATTAATTTTAACAAACACCTCGCCGCCTCTAATTAGCTTAGAAAAATATTTCAATGAGAAGATGTGATATGTTTTTTTGCAGGGAGTTCTATGCTAATTGATAACTGATCCGGGCATCCAACCTCGATTTATCGAAATGTAAGGAATTTAAATGAACAAACTTGAGTCTCTAAGTTAACCGTTTTAAAAAATACATTAAAAAGTTGTATTTTTCCTTAAAAATGCTGAACTTCAAAATTGTTTTATAAAAGTGACATTTTAGGCACGACAAGAATCTAGTAACGTCGGACATAAAAACTCATTTGCAATCCAGTGAAAACTGGGATAAATCTTCCATTGAATGTATTTTTCCTTGTTCTAAATTCCTTTGTTGGACATTCATTTTAGTTCGCATTTCTCCTTCTGAGGAGATACCACGCCCGTTTAACACCGTGTTTGTGGGAGAACGCGTCCGAAAGAAGTTGCAAATGGCCTTCTTGAAATCCGGTTTGAGAAAAGTGTACACGAGTGGATTCAACAGTGAACATGTCGCCACTGTAAACAAAGACGAAACAGAGAGGGCTTCTGGAATGACGTCATCCCTATTAACAATTTTTGCAGTTGTTATGTAGATGATTGGCAGCCAACAGAGAAGGAAAGCTAAAACAAATATGGCAAACACTTTTGCCACCTTAGCGTCCGAAGATAATCGTCTTCCTTCGTGATTGTGCACTCTGAAGGATTTCAGATGTTCGTTCCTTGTCAGACCCCTTCGAACCTCCATAAACATTCGCACGTATGCCAAAGTCATTAAAGTGTAAGGCACAATGATACCAAAAACCTGTAAACAAATCATGTAAACCTTATGCACTGTGAGGTTGACATCAGTGTTCCAAAACAGAGGCAGTAAAGAGTAAATCAATGAAAGTAACCAGGAAAGTAAAGGAGCCCTTCTTCGTATCTTAGGAGCTCGATACGGGTATTCCAATGGCTTGATCACTGCAACATATCGATCGTATGTGACAGCACATAGGTTTGCAACACCTGAGAGTAAAATTACGCTCACTAAATAACCTGTTACAATCGAAAATGGCTCGATGAGGTAAACAGGCAGTAAAACTCCTCCTATTAATATGTCCGACACTGCAAGTGACACCATCAGCCAATTCGTGGTGGTTCGTAGAGCTTTCTTCGAGATGACCAAGAGGCAAACGCAGGAGTTTGATGTAACAATGAATAAAGAAAAGATGCTCAGAAAAACCATCACAAAAATATTCTGATCTGTAACAGCCATGTTTCAGCCAATTGCTCGAGATCTCTGTCAATGTGTGGTTTCCTTTACACGAAATCGTCTTCGCGTGAGTCATTCAATTCACCTCGGTACTGAAATTGTTATGTTTACTGAACCAAAGGAGTTCTACCGCTTTGTTACCTTTGTTCGTTGAAGGATCACAAGTTGTCGTCATTGATTAAATCTTGTATTTCGCCTATAAAAATCTTGTTTGGTTGACTAATCCCTTGACGCGAATGGAATAAATTTCTCCTCGTCTTGTGAGTAATCATATTGTCACAATCTAGGAGAGTTTGAGACGACTGAGAACGAAACTCAGAGATCATTAAAAAAAGCCATTAAGTCCGAAACATCCAGAAAAACCAGTGGGGGTAAAGTTTCACCTTTAAAATCAAACGAATAACGAAAATAATCTTTGAAAGCTTTTAACTCCAGTCGCGTCAATTCGTAAACGGATTGGATAGATATTAATCTGTCTTGGAGACATTATGATAATTGCACCTTTTGTCATATCCAAAAGTAATCGAAATAACAACTAAGAATACAGAAAAAGATATTATTTTTGCATCTCCTTGGAACTGATTTTAAGCAGGGACCGGAAACAGTTTCATCAACCAGGTCAGTTTTCATACATGAACTTGTTTACTCAATTAACTTTCCATCTTCGAGTAAACAAACTGACTTCAGTTGTCAAAGGGTTCATGAAAAAGTGATAAGAATCGATACCAAGCCAAACAAACGCTTTGGAAATGTACATCATTTCCTTTTTGGGCGTTATTAGTAACGCCAAGCTGATAAGAAAAAAATAGAACAAAATCGAGCATTTAACCTCTTAAACGTAAGTTCAAATTTAGTTCTCATGGCTAGAATTATCTTAAAGCTATTAGATTTTAGTAAATCCCAAGAAATCAATGTTTTTCAGTGTCATGTGTTATAATAATTTAAATTGTCTCCATATATGCTGGTGAGGCAAGTCCAGTTACTTCTCTCGTCCAGCCTTACTTCATAGTGAAAATGTGATTCTCTGGAAATGCACGGCCTTCATATTTGCTCACAAACCATCACAAAGCATTACTTAGCATTACCAGTCGTTTAAGATAATTGCTCATTCTACGTTAATCGTCTCAATGCTTTGACCTCAAAATACCACTATAAATCTTATTACAAGATAATATTTCAAGAGTTCACTTTCCGGCACATCTATCTCACGATTGTGAGTGAGGGGCACGACTATCAACTGTTACTTTTTTCCGAAACTTAAGCATTATACTGAAATTTGCATCTTTAAGTAAAGACGTTTTTCGTTCCTTTGAGGTCTTTTTCCTCCTGAATGTCTTTAAAATAAATGAAACAATTCTATGTTTTGTACAATAGCTTCAAAATTAACAAAAACGTAAAGGTAGGACTATACCCTACCAACAATAATATAGGCGGTCTTACGTTGTCTGGATACATCTTATACTTGAACCCAAATTTGTGGTCTTGACTCAAGTGAGCGGAAATGGCACTGAAATCATACCGCTTTGGAAAATCACGCAAATTTTACCAGTGTTTTCATTTCTTAAAAATAAATCAAGAGGTGGAGGTATTAAGGTGAAGATCTACTAACATAGAGCCTCCCCGAAAAGAGAAGTGACGTTAGATTTAAAGAAATCATGACAGAAAATCGAGTTGAATCGTTTAAGATTGACTCGAGATGTTGAGGCTGACGAAGACTATAATTTATTTTTAAGGTTGTATGCTCATTAAATAACATGGTAAGGAATATTTATACAGGCTAGCCCTTCAGTACATAGATATTGTTATTAAAGGTATCTTTTTTTTAATTAAAAAAATTAGAATGAAAACCGAAAATAAGATAAACATGACTTTGTGACAAAGTCCCACTAACATACACTAACCTACCTTGACTATATTACAAAAAAAAAAGCATTTATCCGAAACTTCCCCATTGTTAATTTAGGGTTTAGGGTGGGGGGGTTTTTAAACAATAACGTCAAGCTTCACTTTCGGGAGAACAACGATGGCCCCTTTGTTCTTCAATACTATGTTGCTCTCTAAAATGGTATTACAATGAAGTAAGAAAATTATTCATTTCAAAGAGGCGAAATTTGAAGAAGCATAATGTAATAATTGCGGGGACTAGAGAAACCTTAAGATTTAGGAGCTAAATATTAAAATTTCTCCTCAAGTCACATATTATACATGTTGTTCTCTGTTTACAATCTGTCAAACCTCGAGTTGATGCGTCTCATTTCTGCTTAATTAGTTGCTTAGACTCAGTGATAAACGAGCCGTCACTCTATATTAATCGGTATTTTCAGTAGATGTTCACAAAAAGAGACAGTTCAATCGCCCTAATTGAATATGTCGGTGCTGATAATAGCTGTCTCATGTAGAACCAAACTATAATCATGGCAAAAGTATTAGATGGGGGAGGCTAATTAGTCATTAATTTAAGGCGAGATAGACAACTGAAAAGAAGTACGTAGCCATTGATATTGTCTGGAAATTTTGGTGAGAGGTTAAAACTCACTCTGCTTTATGTTAGTTCCGCGTGATTGATACATATATGATTAATTAGGCGCGCGACTGAAAATTTGTTTACTATGTAAAGGAATAGACAGTGTAGTACTTTATTCCTTTGATTTTATTTCCGAAACAAATGAATTCATGGGGCATATCCTAACTTGTTGTGTGTTGCATCGCAAATTCGCTCAGACTGTCAAATAAAACGAAAATAAATACATTAAATAGAGAATAACACATAGGTGCGCGTAGATATGGAATTTTCCTTTGAGTGTTCAACTCGATAGCTTGCTCGTAAGCCCGCGAACGAGTTGAGATATCGGTCTACAAGCAACCATGTATTATTTTGTTTATTTTGCTTTTTTTTAATTTATTAATTTTTTTTATTTTTTATTTTTTTATTTATTTTTTTATTTATTTTTATTTTTATTTATTTATTTATTTATTTTTTAACATTTTTTTATTTTCACTTAAAGCACAAATACTAGAATAATAAAAACAAATACATGTATTATTTTGTTTATTATATTGACACAATAGCCTTTTACTGACAAGAAAAGCAGACTAGTTATAATGAATGAAACAAAACGATCGACAATTCCCGAACAAAAATCGTAAAGTGCGCTGTCGCTAAGGATCAGTATGAAAAAAAGCGTTGAGTAATTACAAATACAACAATTCAAAGGGTGTAATTGCAATATACAAAATTCTCAGGTATTGACTTTGTCCTTACCCACAGACGAAATTAAATCTCTCAAGTACACAGCCAAATCGGCCTGCGGCAAATCTTCCGGTTGCCGATTTTCATTCTCAACTGCGAGAAATGCCACTACAAAAGCCAATGAATACGTAACTTTCGGTTTTTCTTTTCGCATCTGATTTTGTTCCCCTTCAGGGAAAGTTTAACCTTGCTATCTGTAAGCGATACGGATATTTCTGTGTTTTTTTAGCAGCCATAATCCGAGAGAATTCCGACAAACGACTTTGGATTGAGATAGTGAAGGCTTTGCCGTTCATTCAACAACCTGACTGTGTGGCGCGAAAGGCGAGTGACGTGTCAGCAGCTGATTGGCGATATCAAACACGCGAGAAAAAAAATATCGTTTTGTTTTTTCCTGTGCTGTTAAGGCCTTTCTCAGGGCTGGAAATCCTTCTATGACACCGTAGTATATATCGCGAATAAGGATATTTGTTAATATCATTCAGTTGTATTTCGCTTTGGACAGTGACCTTTTTTTCTTTTATAGCTCAAATCCAAAGCCTCATGCAGCTCCCTAGCACTCCTCCTGAGGGTCACTAATCCAAGTAATTTGCTGCTCTCTATATACATCGTCGTAAGGACTGGGCCGTTACAGTCAAAGGTTTCAACAGGTTTGTCAAACACAAAACTTTAGGGCTCTACAAAGAAGAAAACAGCAGAAAATGCTTTCGGTACCTATCAAAGCTACTGTTCAATGTTGATAGCAAGTAGTGAAGAGGCGTTAAAAGCTCACAATATAGATAACGGATGGGACAAGACAAAAGTTCCTGGGGCAACGACGATGAACTTGACTTTATGGCAGATCAGGCTCAATAAGGCACGAAATTTTAGTCCACTCTCATATGTCGGCGGAGTTACCTATAAAGGACCAGAGCCTTTATCCAGCGGAGTATATGGGATGGATTCCCGAAAAGTATTCGTATCGTAAAATTAAGCTTCATTGTCTTTCTTCTTTTTCTACAACGTTTTAGTCTGTCTTGGAAGCAACATTAAAATAGATAATGATCAAAAAACAACTAAAGCACGAACTATACTATTTCAGAGCAAACTGGTAAGGGGTACAATTTTCAATTTTCCATTGAAATAGACGGCGTTACCAAAAAGGCAGCTCAGATATATTTGCAGCTGTAAACCCTCTCTCTAGAAACATTCTACACACTACTTTGGTTGACACCAAGCCAACGTTTATTACATTACAAGATCAAGTTCATTTGATCTCAAGGCACATGTCCAAAATCAAAACTCTCAAACTGGAGCTACTGTTGACTCCAGCGGTATCTACGCTACAGCCTGGTTAGAGCATGGTTCAACGACTGCGAAATACGGGTACCCTATTGTCGTGAAAACAGACTCTTACAAAAGCACTGCCACCACTATATGGAGGCGCAAACACAGGAATCAGTTGGTGCATGTACACGCTTCTGCAACAAGATGATAAGGCACCTGTAATAGAGTTTGGTATATCATCACAGTGCAACATACTAATCACTCCATTGTACGGCTACGTGATCTTTCAGCCCTCACCAAAACTCCTTCAAGGTGGTTTGATCATAGAAGTGATCAAGCAATGTCTCATCATGGTCGAGCAGAATTCCTATTCCGTCTTTTTAAGCATCAGCTACCCTGACCTGAATTTAAATGTCGACGGGGACATGAAAACATCCCATACGAAGTCAATAGGGAGGAGCTCCATGAACTAGAAAGTGGTGAACTCGAGCTCTAAGTCACTATATCAGTGGAGGTGAAAATGATCC